GTTCGTCCTGGATGAGAATACCTTCAGGGGCAGGGTTAAATGTAATTTAATGGCGTTGTGAAGCATACTCATTTCGTTGTGCGAAAATTTACCCTACGCAACCTAGGGTTACTAGAACTCTTATAAAAGAGGGTTTTGTCTTCTTCTCCCTGGTTTACCATCATTTTCAATTTTTCAAATAAAATTCTGCCTCTCCAATTCAGTAAGTGTTCAGGGAACTCAGCAATATTTTGTGGAAAAGTGGTTGCTAGAAGGCGAAGGCAATTGGGGTTTACTGATACCAGTAAACTGATACCTCGTTTACTCATCATGTGATTAACTACACAGAGCCGATATACTGACGCATTCTGTGATGAGGATGGATCGCATGGAAAAGTATATGCACAATTTGGTAGTCTTTGTATTGTAAAGCGTCGCCTGGCTTCTATCTTACTCAAATATCCAACGCATCTCGTGAATCTAGTCCATTTTTATGCAAAGTATGCTCATTACTCCTTTGATCTACCAGTCCTATTAATCTTGACCATCTTAGTAACTATCCTTATTCACGTGCTATTTCTCTCAGGTGCCATTAGTGATCTTCAAACGCGAAAAAGAGATCTCTCGTCAATTAGAATTCGAGGGAATATGGGTTACCGAGCAACCGAATGAAGATAATCTGCACGCGCACTGGGACAAATTGGTTCTTTCGACGCCCAGCTTCCCGGCCATGTATTGGGATAAATTCGTGAAGAAAAAGGTGCTCAATAAGTATGCTGAACAATACGATGCAAACGAGATACGCAATCTACTTGGGATGCAAGTAACTGAGGGCGAGCCGAGCGGGAAGGGAGGCATGAAAGGTGAAAAGTCCAGTGGTAGTTCACGGCTATCTTGGCTACGTCTGTAAGTCTATTATTTTTATGAATTAAATTATTTTAAATTGTTGGGAGTAACTTCATTTTCGAGGTAAAGTGTGTGATGAAGAGATTCAAAAATATATCCTACTAAAAGACAACGGCAGACTACTCTTGGCCAGCCTAACTGGTACATTCTAGTTTACATTGTCTTCTTCGATTCATGTAAAAATATTCCAAGCTTTCTCTCATTTAATTTAAGCTAGCGAGCCAAGAAGACTTATCGGTTTATTTTTATTGTATGAATGTGGAATCGTAAAGATTACGTGCTTTTCACTAATATACTCCATTCATAAGTATGCATCTGTAATTCTCTGATTTTAGCCCCCGCTTCGTATATTTAATGACATAAGAAGGCCTGAATAGTGGTCGGAGGTAAACCAAACATCTTCTTGGTATTGGTTCGACCTTGTTTTCGCAACTTGATCGGAGCTTCGGAGAGACCTTGTAGAATGCACCTAGTCCCATGTCCTTTGCCATCGTATTTGTGATTTCCAGCATTAGACCATTGACTGGATACTATGGCAGAGGACACAGAAATAGTTACGTTCCGCAAGCTCTCCCTGACGCTCCGACCAAATTGCAAAAACAAGGTCGAACCAACACTATATAAAGCTAAAGGAGACTACGACCGAACGGAAAGCCACACCATCTTAGTCTTCATTTCTACT